GCAGACTACCCTGCAAGAAAGCAGTGCTGAAGTCAAGGGAGTGAAGCTCGTAGTCACGCTGAGCGGCTATGTGCAGCAGCACCCAAAGAGTGGTCATCTTCGGGGTGGGAGAGAAGGTCTGAAAGTAGTCAACTCCCTACCGCTGACTGAAGCCTTGAGCCACGTAACGCGCCTTGAAGAAAGGTGGAGAACCTGGCGGCCGCTTCACCCTGAAGATCCACATGCCACTGACGATGTTCGCCCCAGGTGGGGGAACCGCGTCAACGTAGGTGCCTGTGGACTTCCAGGAAGCCATCTCTGCATCCATAGCTGCCTGCCACTGAGAGAAGTAGGGACCCTCTACGGCCTCCGCGTAAGAGCGCGGAGTCGGGATGTCAAGTGCATCCAGGTCTCCCTCAGGGGTAAGCAGTACGGACACGAGATGGGGTGAAGCAGCAGCTAGACACTGGAACTCCTCCTGCCTGTCCTCAAGGACGTCCATGCCAAGAGCACACTCACCCCCGACGGACGGAGGACAGACAGACGCAGACTCAGCAACAAGACTAGCAGCGTAGTCTAGACGACAGCGAGCAGCAAAGTCGACAAGCTCAGCAACAAGAGCAGACGCAGCAGTGGACTCAAAAGAGGGGTCAGTGACGACAGTAGCAAGGAGACGCGTGACAGTAGGACTGGCAGCACGAAGAGAGTCCGACTCCGAGTCGGCAAGCGCAGGAAGAGAGGACTTAGGAGGAGAAGGCAAAGGGACACGCAGAGGAGCAAAGGACGGACGCAGAGACATCCGGTGCGTGCCAGGGACAGGAGGAGGACGCTGACGCAAACCGCGACCACTAGCGCGAGCAGCACGAACAGGCGACGCAGGACGAGACGCAGGCTCAGGACGCTCAGCAAGACCTCCAGTAGGACCAGTGTAAGGAGAGGGAGCAGGCAGTGGGGAGGCGGGCGGTAACTGTGACTGTGACTGGACAGGCTGTGGACACTCTACAGGAGGAGGAGGACAAAGAACCTGCTGAAGGAGCGGAACGAAGTACGGCCGAGGCCGCGCGGCGACTCTAGATACAGCAGGGACAGCACCAACACCCTCAGCACCACCAGCACCCTCAGCACCCTCAGCACCTCCGGCAGCACCAGCGCCAACAGCACCTCCAGCGGCACCAGCAGCACCCGCAGCAGAACCGCCGCCAGGACTGACAGCAGTAGCCTCAGCGCCAACACCCTCAGCAGCCCCAGCTCCAGTCGGACGAGCACCTCCGGGACCAGCGGCACCAGCACCCTCAGCGGCCGAAGAGGCTCCAGCTCCAGCAGTACGCTGCCAGCGCCAGGCAAACCACTCGCGCAACTCTTGTGGAGTGAGCGGCTCTCGCCGAGAAGAGCTAGGAGAACCACCAGGCCCAGCACCGCCAGACGCCACACGAGCAGGTCCAGCGGCCGCTGGCTCCGCACCCCCAGGCTCAGCAGCTCCAGACACAGCACCCCCAGGCTCAGCAGCTCCAGACGCAGCACCCCCAGGCGAAGGACCCCCAGGCTCAGCACCCCCAGTCGTAGCACCCCAAGGCTCAGCACCCCCAATCGCAGCACCCCCAGGCTCATCACCCCTAGGCTCAGCACCCGCAGCAGTACCAAAGTCACCAGCAACCTTGACCGGCTTGACTGCGTCTACCTGGGACACACCTGAAGGGGCAGGACCCTGAGGGGGGAAGGGGTCTACCTGGGGGGGACCGGGCACAAGGAAGTGCGGTGGCGGGGGGAGGGAAGGAGTGCGGTAGGGGAAGAGACGGTAGTAGGGGACCGACTCGTCAAACGTGACATCCTGGGAGGACAGAACACGACGAGAGGAGGGGTGGTAGAACTGCCACCCTGGTGCATCAGGGGGGAAGCCAAGGAAGACACAAGGAGCAGCACGAGGGGACAGCTTGTCCGCAGACAAGTCGCGGACAAACGCCCGAGATCCCCAGACACGGAACGCAGACGCATCGCCTACCTTCCCCGTCCACAGCAGAGCTGGGGAGGTCTCCGGCATGGAGACTCTGGGGTGAAGGTTGATCTGATGCGCCGCGTACCGAACCACAAACGGCCACAGAAAATGGGGGGCAGCCGCATGCATCATGGACGTACGAGCGACGTCCATGACCATGCCAATGCGGCGCTCAGCAATCCCATTTTGCTGTGGAGAGTCCGGAAGCGTAAAGGTCTGGCGGATGCCTCGCGCACGACAGTAGGCTCGCAGAAGGCCAGAGGAGAACTCTCCGCCTCGGTCAGAGTGCAGACGCAGAACAGGAAATTCCGAGCCGAAGCTCCTCCTGACTGGAGACGAGCTGCGCGGATCCAGTCGATCAACACCTCAGTGACATCACCCTTGCTGCGCAAGGGGAAGACTGTGGTGTAACGCGAGTAGTCGTCAACCACCAGCAGGAAGTAGCGCTCGTAACCCTGCCCACGGACGCGGGCCGGGCCCCACACGTCCATGTGAAGCGTCTGCAGCGGGGCCTCTGTCGGGGGAAACTGAGCGGAGTGAGGGGCAGCCCGGAGCCGCCCCTCGATACAGGGGACACAGGAAGGACCAGGCCCCGGAGGAAGGGGAGGGAGGGACCGGGGAAGACCGGAGACAAGGACACGGGAAGCCATGCCTTGGAGACGAGGCAGGGAGGGGTGACCAAGACGGTGGTGCCACAGGAGAGTCTTGTGAGACAGGAGGCGACACGAGCAGGGGGCAGACTCAGGACCAGACCTGGACGCTGCAGCAAACACCTGACCGGACGCAGCTACCTGGCAAGACGCAGGGACAGGAGGAGACCCAGTGGTCAGGGTGTAGAGGCTCGACCCCGGCCGACGCGTAAACGTGGCTAGGTGCCGCCCTGTGCGCGCGTCCGAGCAGTGGGTCACCCGCTGACTCGCAGGACTGAACTAGTGAAACCCCCCATCGTGTAGATCAGCACCACTCACCAAGTTCGTAGAGAACGAGGGGAGGTAGAGACCTTACATGCTGCTTTGCCTTATCTCGTGTCCACGCTGATTGCCCCTGAGGGAGACCCGGATGCACCAGACATCCCGACTCCTCAATCGTACGCTGAGGCGATCGAGGGTCCCTACTCCTCACAGGGGTAGTCAGCCATGGACGCAGAGATGGCTTCCTGGAAGTCCACACGCACCTACGTCGACGAGGTTCCCCCACCTGGGGCGAACATCTTCAGTGTCATGTGGATTTTCAGGGTGAAGCGGCCGCCGGGTTCTCCGCCTGTCTTCAAGGCGCGTTACGTGGCTCAAGGCTTCAGTCAGCGGCAGGGAGTTGACTACTTTCAGACCTTCTCTCCCACCCTAAAGATGATAACTCTTCGGGTGCTGCTGCACATAGCCGCTCAGCGCGACTACGAGCTTCACTCTCTTGACTTCAGCACAGCTTTCCTGCAGGGCCGCCTGCACGAGAAGATCTGGCTGCGCCGCCCACCTGGCTTTACTGGGTCGTTTCCTCCTAGTACCCGGTGGAGCCTCCAACGGCAAGTCTACGGTCTCCACCATGTGCCTCGTGAGTGGCACGACACACTGAGGACTACACTTGCGGCTCTTGGGTTTGCTCCTTCTACTGCCGGCACGTCGCTGTTTCTGCGCATGGACACCTCTTTGCCGCCGTTCTACATCCTCGTGTATGTCGACGACTTGGTCTTTGCCACTGCTGACATTGCTGGACTCGCCCACGTGAAGTCAGAGCTGCAGAAGAGACACACGTGCATGGACCTGGGTGAACTGCGCAGCTACCTTGGCTTGCAGATCACTCGGGACAGAGCACAGCGCACCATTACCCTGACTCAGTCACACATGGTGCAGTAGGTCCTTCAGCGCTTCGACTTCACGTACTCCTCGCCTCAGGCCACTCCTCTGTCTACTCGCCACTCGCTCTCAGCTCTACCTTCGGATGAGTGCGTAGAGCCGAGTGGCCCGTACCCAGAGCTTGTTGGCTGCCTCATGTACCTGATGACCTACACATGACCTGAACTAGCATACCCTCTTAGCATCTTGGCACGCTATGTTGCTCCTGGGAGACACAGACTAGAGCACATGGCTGCAGCGAAGAGGGTGTTGCGCTACGTGTGCAGTACGTCAGGCATGGGGCTAGAGCTTGGAGGGCGACGTCAAGTGGTCCTCACAGGTCACGCAGACGCTTCTTGGGCTGACGACCACGCTACGCAGCGGCCGTCATAGTGTTACACCTTCAGCCTTGGCTCCGGCTCTGTTTCGTGGCGGTCTACCCGCTCGTCTTCTGTTCTCGGCTCCAGCTGTGAGGCCGAGATCTACGCGGGGGCCATGGCTGCACAGGAGTTACGCTGGCTCACCTACCTGCTGACTGACCTAGGAGAGGCGCCTTGTTCTCCTCCAGTCCTGTACGTAGACAACAAGGCCATGCTGGCCTTGTGTCGGGAGCACAGACTGGAGCACAGAACGAAGCACATTGTTCTTTGCTACTTCCTTGCTCGTGAGCTGCAGCAGCGTGGTCAGCTGCGCCTTGCTTACGTGGCCTCTAAGGCCAACACTGCTGATATCTTTACCAAGGCACTTCCGCCTGGTGATCATCAGCGTTTCTGTACGATGCTAGGTCTTGTGCCTACTTGGCCTCACTTGCTCACTTCTTGACCTTGCTTGTACTATGATCTTTTTATACCTGCACTTGCTTGTTTACCTTTATATATGATCTTGAATGTGAACTAGCCTTTTGGCCTTGCTCTTGTGCTCGGATTGTGTGGTGACGTTGTGATCCACCCTGAGCTTGCTTTGCTTTGCTTAACTGGTCTTGTGACCTCTTGTTCTCCCCCACTCTACCTATGGGGGTGTGTCAAACTCATATGCTATAGTCTGTGTAGGCTGTAGTGGGGTAGACAATATGGGGTGCAACACTTTTAGGTTTTACTACTTGTACCCACCTGCTTGCTAGTTCATTTCATTCCTCAATTCTCACAGGCAATACCATAAAGGCGGAAATGGACAACAAGAACACAAGCAGGGCAATAAGAATGAATATCTTGAGTGAAGTAGCCTGTGTGATGCGAACATTCATACTTGAAGCACACGTTGTGCCGAGAGGGAGTGGTGCACAGGGTAAGTCGCAAAGTAAAAAGGCAGAGTGGTGAGCCGTCCATACGTTGATTTTGAACTGGTGGGCCATTATGACGGTGGTTGTTGGAATCCTAGCGATCCCTGAAAGATATTCGGACACCGAGGAGTTTTCTCTTCTTCATTCTCGTTCTAATCTTCACACGCTATCAGAGCATGTACGGTCGTGGCCTGTGGGCCCACCTAACTGCTTTCGTTGCTACTCTGTGTTCGGCACACCGCGTGGCGTGCCCCTCGCCCTACTCTTAGCGGCCCCGTTGCCGCCCTTCCAGGCCCCTCGCGGCCCCTTTGCGGCCCCGTCGCCGCCCTTCCAGGCCCCTCACAGCCCCTTCGCGGCCCCGTCGCCGCTCCTATCGGCCCCGTCGGCGCCGCCAGCGGCCCCGTCGCTGCCGCGAGCGGCCCCGTCGCCGACCCTAGCGGCCCCGTCGCCGCCCCTATCGGCCCCGTCGCCGCCGCGAATGGCCCCGTAGTCGCCGCCAGCCGCCCCGTCGCCGCCTCCATCGGCCCCGTCGCCGCTGCCAGCGGCCCCGTCGCCGCCGCCAGCGGCCCCGTCGCCGACCCTAGCGGCCCCGTCGCTGCTCCTATCGGCTCCGTCGCCGCCGCCAGCGGCCCCGTCGTCGCCGCCTGCGGCCTCGTCGCCGCCTCCATCGGCCCCGTCGGCGCCGCCAGCGGCCCCGTCGCCGCTGCCAGCGGCCCCGACGCCGACCCTAGTGGCCCCGTCGCCGCTCCTATCGGCCCCGTCGGCGCCGCCAACGGCCCCGTTGCCGCCGCTAGCGGCCCCGTCGCCGACCCTAGCGGCCCCGTCGCCGCTCCTATCGGCCCTGTTGGCGCCGCCAGCGGCCCCGTCGCCGACCCTAGCGGCCCGGTCGCCGCTCCTATCGGCCCCGTCGGCGCCGCCAGCGGCCCCGGCGCCGCCGCCAGCGGCACCGTCGCCGACCCTAGCGGCCCCGTCGCTGCTCCTATCGGCCCCGTCGCCGCCTCCACCGGCCCCGTCGCCGCTACTTGCGGCCCCGATCCCGCCCCGGCCATGCCCCGTCGCGAGCCGCGGGGCACCGGGGGCACGTGCACCGCCCCCCTCCCTTTTCCCGTCGCCCGTCGCGGCTCCTTTGGGGACCGCACGTGGCCACCCTCAGGTCGCCTCAACACGCGACAGGAGGGGCAAGCATTGCCCCTTCTGCCGCCTGTTTTGGCGGCCTGGGAGACCGCGCGTCGCCCCCCCCCCCCCCCCTAACCTCCCTACCCGCCGTCCCGCCCTGCCCTGTGTTTGGGTCTGGGGGTGGCGAGTAGGGGGTGACGGGTGTGTGGTCTCCCCTGCTCCTCCTCCTCCTTCGTCTCCCACTGCTGCAGCTGTCGCTGAGGGGGGTGGATGTGTGGGAGCCCGGGGTTTAGGGTTTAAGGTGGGTGCTGTGGGAGTGGAGCTAGGGTTTTGAGGGAGGTGGATGTGTGTGAGCCTGCGGTTTAGGGTATAAGGGGGGTGCTATGGGAGTGGAGCTAGGGTTTGAGCAGGGGGTGTGTGTCGAGAGGTGTGGGGCAGCTGGAGGAGGTTGGTTGAACGGAGGTTGTCGTCGTGTCGTCAGTAGCACCAGTAGTCCGGGGCGCTGCTCCGGTAGCCCAGTCGTAGCCAGCTGTGCCAGTCGCCCGTGGGTCCGTTGCTCGTCTGCCGCTTGTCTTAGCCGCGGAGCCAGTTACTCCAGTAGTCTGGAGCGTTGTTCCAGTAGCCGCTGTGCCACTGTGACTCCTGTTGCCCGTGTGTCTGCAGCTTCAGCCGTTGCCTCCTATCTCCTCTCCTCTTACAGTCTCGCCTCCTCCTCCTCACTTGCCCTTTGTGAATGACTCTAGCTTTGCTCGCTATTGTGAACTCCTGCTCTTTGCCTGCTTGCTCATTGTGCTGATTACACCCCACTTTGGCTATGGGGGTGTGTCAGAATGTTATGTTTGTCTAGCCTGCAGTGGGGTATTCAATAGTGAGTACAGCCCAACTTAGGGTTTCCTATATGTACTCAACTGCTTGCTAGTGAACTCCTCTCTTCTTCAACGCCGTGCTGAAGTCAACGCCACAATCCATGAGTTGGGCGGCGGAAATCAGGTTGAAGCGCAGGTTCTGGACGATGAGCGCATCGTTGAGTGTGATGTGCATGCGGCTCCCCCTTGCCTTGAGCACGACGAAGCCTTGCGCACTCGCGCACAGGCGCGTGTTGTTGGCCAGTGTGACGTACGTGACCGTGGGCATGGCGACGGCATTGGATATGTAACGCTCGGAGCCCACCATGTGCTGGCCGCAGCAGTTGTCCAGGTACAAGGTATTGTAGCGCTTCCTGTCGTCACATGCGAGCAGCGCCAGTCGCGGCGTGATGATGTGAGGTGTGTCAAATTTAAGAAACTGCTCGCGCGAGAGCCAATCGAGTTTCGTCGCCCGCATGTCAGGTATGTGCAGGGGACTTTCAAGCAGCGGGACTGGAAGATTCCAGTCCTGGTCGTCGTCGTCGGTGAAATCGTGGCGCGGGCTGAACGGTTTATTGTTGGAGAACGCGCCAATGGGGTGCGGTGCTGGCTCAGGTGATGGTGAGCGCACGCGGCGAGGACGCGACTCGCCCGTTATGGCCATGTTGCTCATGACGTTGCGTACTGGGGCAGACGGTGACGGCTGCTACTGCAGATGATGAACCATTGCGCGTCGGGGGTTGATACCCCTGGGCTGGACGCACGTCGCCTCGTGCGTCTTGTCGGCCGAACCAGTTGCTCGGATTGGTCTAGCGAGGGCGAGATCGGGACTTGCATCGATCCGCCAAGTGCTCGAAGGTTCTGCAAATCTTGCAGTAGAGGCGCCGCGACCGTCGCTCTTCGGTGTTGTTGGCGTAGAAGGCGAGCCGTTCACGTTCTCGTGGTGGCACTGGTCGCAGCTGGTCCATATCCCGTTGTTCGACGAGAAGGGTGGCGCAAAGGGCAGCCTCCGAGGTGACCCCCTGTTGCCGGATAAGCGCCTTGCGGGGCCGCCACTCTGGGCCGAGCCCTTGAAGCACGATGTTGACAGAAATCTCCTCTGATATCGAGCTTCCCAACTTCGCGATTTGATCGCGAAGACTCCGACAACGATTAATGTAACTGTTGGCCCTCTCCCCTGGGGTCATTTTAGTCTCCAGTAGCTGTTGGAGCAGCCGGCTCGAAGAAACGGAGTCCTTCGGCTGGTACACGCCGTTCAGATGGTGCCAAGCGTCGAGAGCTGGAGCGGGCGAGGTTTTGTACGAGCGAATGCTCAACTGCTCCGCCGGCGACATGTTGCGCAGAAGTATACCGTACGCCATCAGGGACTCGTTGTAGTACCTCGCCTTGGCGTCGTCAGTGTCCTCAAGCAGGCCCCGTGTAACTCCCGTCAAAGTAGTGGAAAATCTGAGCGTTCTGCAGCAGGAGCTTCAGCTCGAAGCTCCATGTATAGAAGTCTCTGCCGTCAAAACACACACTTGTCTTTATTTTTTGTATGCTGAGGAACCTTGATTGTGCAGAGAGAATTGCCTCTTCACTGGGACAGGGAGTCTTGGGGGTTGAGCCATTTGTGTTGAGGGAGAAAGTGTGCGGGGCGGCGTTCTGGCCCTTTGGGTTCGGTTGAGTAGGTTGCAATGAGGTTCCCGCGTCGCTGTTCTGCAATGTTTGGAGCCCTTGCTCCAGGTTGGTGAGTCGCTGAAGTAATTGTGCGAGGACTTCGGTCCCGATCGTCGTCGTTTCCTCATTGTCGCAGCCAGGTTGGGTTGCACTTCAGCTGTTAGATTTGTCTGACCACCAGATCCTCCGGCCATTCTCACACGGGATCGTGTGCCAGACACCAATTCCGAATGTCGCAGATTTCGGAGATGGCAGTGGGAAGGATTCCCGAGTCGCTCTCATACCATGTTGCGATTCGAAGTTGATCGTAGCCAGGATCTCCTCAGGATGGTTCGCACACTACAGAGTTAGTGGTGGTGGGCCCTTGACCTCAATTGCAGAGTGAATGTAAATGCTTGAGATAATAAAAACATGCAAATACAAAGGCATAAATATGAGTACAGCGGAATTCGAATCGACCTACCTAGCCATGTACTCTAAGGGGTACATTCCTTTATTCAAATTCATTCCCAACCGTGCGACGCCTACAGTTACGAAACTGTTCCCACCAATTTCCTCTTGCCTGTAACTGCCCGATGCCATCTGCTCCGACGGTCCCGATCCACCCTAACCGTCTGACGCTTTGTGTCAACTCTGACCCTTCGCATTCACTTTCAATACTGCGTGCTTCCTTAGCTGCGGTTAGGAGTGCACAGTAATGTTTTCATCCATTGTTATTCGTAACACAGCCTGCATGTTCTACTATCACATATATAGTTTGACATACCGTATTAGTGTGTGGCGGGGATTTTGGGCCTAAAGCCCCATGTACGGGCTCCCCGTGTCTCGTGTACCCTATACATTTTGGTAAGTCCGAATCAGGGTGACTCGGTACACAATACTCATGCTTCAGTGTTACTGGTACACCTAAACACTAATTTGTCAAGGTAGTCCTATACTTTAAACTGAAAAATCAGTGCAAACGTAAAGAAGATACAGAAATTTCAGGGGAAAAGAAAATCACAGCTACAAAATCAGCCTAATCAACGTGTCTTTCGTTGATATCTGAGGGCCTGCTGTTCGCATGTCTGGCTTCCAAAACACCAGTAATACGAATGACCTAAAACTCATCCAACAGCCTGGATAGAAGCGCCCTGGGGGTATAAAAAAACATTGTTTTTTAGGGGGTGGGCTAGAAATTGAGGATTTTTATAAGCGCCGGCGCTTATATACGGTAATAACTTGTATGAAACGCGTCTTTTTTACACCAAACTGTATATCCTGTTGTTGCATTTTGAATCGAGTCGAAACTATACAGGGTGGTGATTCAGAATCTCGCGCAAGTTGGCAAGGAATGATTCCTCCCCCCCTACCCCCCCCCCCCCCCCCCCCCCCCACCCTTTCTCGTAACCCAGGATTCCCGTTGGCCAACTGTCAAAACCTGAATTTGCGCCACAGCTGTACATGTGTTGGCATGAAGTGGGCCACTATTGACAAGAATTACATTTTCGTTCTACACAACGCCAAGAATTTAACTCATTGTAATAACAGCTGAGCAGGGTTTTTAAAAATCTTACACTGATGTCTCGGTGTTAGAATACTAAGGAATAGTAGTACTTAGGGTTTTGGGTGGCAACCAACAAGAGTAGGAAAAGTAGCACTAGAATGGGCAAAGGCTCAAGAAGTACAAACGAGAAATAAGTCAAAGAAGGTGCACCACCTACAAACAATGTACAACAGTTACGACTGTTAATGCTTGTATGCACTGCTATAGTGGATCTTGCATTGCCAAAAAAAAAAAAAAACAATCTACACTACACTAACTACTGCTACAAGCAGTTTATATATAGAATATATGTCTAAATATGTTTTACATATTTTATAACTGCTTGTAGTTGTAGTGTAGTTATTATGCTTTGTAGGTGGTGCACCAATTTCTTTTGCTTTCCTTGTATAAGTCTTGTAACTTTCTAATGCAACTCCTTTTTTTGCCATCCCCTTTTCTTCTTTCAACTACCGTATTCTCCCATATAAAACATCCCCCCGTAATTGTACACCCCCATTTAGCTAATACGGGGTGGGTGTTATATCCGACCCCGTTTGTACTATACCCCCCCTTTTGGGGTGATTTTCTATAACACCCCCCTTTTCTTATAGATTCATATTGTAGTTGTTATCGAGTCCGATTCCTTACGGGACGATATCGCGAGAATTGCTCCCTAACTGAAATTTCGCGTGTACTTTCACTTAGAATCTGCCAAGATTTCCCCCTCCCACAATCTCGCTATCGCCACGCTGACGAATCTTCCGCTGCATGTGGCCCAATAGGTGAAAATCACCTTCTCACATGAGCCACAGATTCGTGACCAAACCAGTCAAAAAGTGTTTGGTACAGTAAGAACGCACCACCGTGCGCGATTCTGGCCTCGACGATTGCATGAACCCTCGCTACGCAATTGGCTTTGTTTTCACCCTATCAAGTGTCAGAACATTATAGCTTATACATTTGTGTAGGCTGTAGTGGGGTAGCCCATAAGGGGAACAACCCAATTAGGGATAGTACTTGTACCCAACTCTTTCATGGTTCAATTATTCCTCATTTCTTCACATGGTATAGAGCAGGTTCCCTAGTGGAACGCTTCCTTGGGCCCACCA